CGCATGCATTTTTTTAAAGAAGCATCACAGCCCTCTTAGTTGAATCTACCTCGATGAGGTCTTTCATGTTCGTGTGTGATGCTGTCGAATAAATTTCTTAGATTTGTCTATATTTTGCTGATGAACGTTCAGTTAGTTCGCGTGTGCTGCTTTGCGGTCTGATCCAAAAGACCAAGATGACTGAAGAGCGACTTTGAAGTCGTAATAACGTCGGAGGATTATGGACTTTGGCACGTTTGATTGTGCATTGCACCATAAAAACAGGTAATCGTTGGTTCATTCGGCGTCGCGAATATCCGTTCGATGCCGTACTTATAATGCCGGCTCTAACCATTATTTTTCCTATTCCTTTGCCGGGTCATTTGCTCCAAAAATTGCATGTGAATATTTCCCTATTTACTCTCTCGGTTGCTGTCAGGGCCGCATGTCACCTGAGCCGTGCTACCGACCAGTAATGCATACCAAGATTTTTTCGTAATGTGCAGCGGCTTGCTGGCGAACGTCATGTGGGCGATGGATGGGACACGCAATGTTGTGTTGGATGGACGTCGTCTGTCGCATAATAGTCGTTACTGCAAAGTGGAAGAAACGAGACATCGTCGTGTGTTGACAGCGAAGCTGTGCAACAATGGCTCTGCGGAATGTGGTTGTTTCTACTCAATGAGCTCAAGCAGCTTTAAATATCGCGTTTCGCGCCATTAAAATGCAAACAAACGTTCATATGAAATTCTATCTTAGCGTTGGACCAATTATGGATACATCCGTCACAGATGGATGTCAATGCTTGAAACTGTACCATATATAACCTTATGGCGCATGATATGGATATGATCGGACGCACACACGCACACGCACGCACGCACGCACACACATACACATACCGACGCGCGCGCGCACGCACACACACACACACACACACACACACACACACACACACACACACACACACACACACACACACACAAACACATGCACACACACGCGTAATTATATATATACTAACTTTAGTTTGTATATGGTTAGTATATTTAGTATAGTTATAATTATATTTAGTATAGTATAGTTATATAGTTATTAGTATAATTTTTGGAGATCAGTGGTGCGCACCATAGATACCAGGAAATCTGTGTTCGCGCATGCCAAATATCATCTAAATAAAACAATATCTCGCTGAAATTATAGGTTTAAAATAGAAAGCACGTACTGTTTACAATATATAATAGCTTGATATGAACAATGAACACTGATATTTCATTATAATAAATATATAAGGGGTGCTCAGTTTACCCAACGGATGTAATACCAATAGAATCTAAATCAGCCAATAGATGGCGATGTGCACCTGTTTGCACTATGGACCCTAGTTTGCACATGAAACTGCACACTTATTCATGCTTTCATAATTACTGTACATCAGGAGTGAACTCCTAATTACATGAATGGGATAGTAAGTATATTGTGGAAATCACATTTTAAATATTGAGAGCACATGTCGTCCGTTTGAGATCAAAGATCTCTATCTGTACCTCTAACTTTATTGATCATGAGGAGGACAGTTTTATCAATTTTCTTGTAGCGAAGCGAAATTTATATGCTCTAACAGTTTTCGCCTGTGCACTGTGGAATAGGGAGACTTTAAGTAGTAAGCCGATGGGCGTGGAGAGACTTCACATTCACTTTCAGGGTTTAGTGTTCCAGCTTTTGCTAGAAATAAAAAAATGAGGCGCACAATAATTACCGGAGAGAGAGATTAGGTTTGAGATATTTTATGTCACATTACCGGCGAGCATGTCCTTACTGCTTCAAACGGGAAATTTCTTCAAAGTATCAATTTCTATTCTCTGGCAAGACATTCGGCTTACGTGAGCGCACACCTCTTTTGTGTACCGTTTAAGGAAACGCAGGAAAACTCAGTTCGGTACACTTTTTCAATATTTTTAAAAGTGAGATGTTTTCCCTTCTCTACTTTAAATGTATAATTTCAATAAATACTGCAGATACGGCTTTGGTATACGAGGTACATTTATTCTCGTGTTACATTACATTATGACTAGTGTAAATAATTTGAACAAATTCAGAATTACGAATTAGGCGTGCTATTTTGGTATGTCTGCAGCATCTCCACGTAGACAGTTTACATGAAGTAATCACCCTACCTGCGCAATTTCGCAAATTGAGATTGCAATAGTAATTTTTGCTATCCCGTCATAAGGAAACAACAAAGAATGTAATATATTATAAATATTTGAAACTCGAACAATTCATCAACTCCCACACTAACATGTAGCATTTTCAGGGCATAATGCCCCGCGAGTTCTGCTTCCACACTGAATACGCGAGTGAACAAGTCCCTTTGAATTGTATTGATGCAGCTGAAGGCATAACTGACGTATTCTTTTCTTTGTAAAACAAAGGCTGTCTACAATCAGGCAGCACGTTTAATTTTATAATGCGAGTTTTGTACTCGCCATTGTGAAATGCGTAGTTGACTAAAATGTTTGCTAGCTGCTCGATTAAACACATAACACCGTGTTGTTATGGTATTGCGTCAGTTTAACTAGCAAAGAGATGGTAAATATCTATGTTCTTCTTGTTTATCATCAACCTATAAGTGGAAAACATTTGTTTTTGTAATCACACGGAGTGGACATAAATATACGTTCCATAGTAGTCCTACAAAAATGTAACGAGATATTTGGCTTCGTTAAAACTCTTCACATTCTCCACGCTTCTAGAACGTAAATATGAAAGCCGAACATTCAGTAAGTCTATATGAGCTAAGCGACAAACCAATTTTTGCCGTCATTCAGGAAACATGCAGCATCATTTAATAGGGGTTGTTCTAGTAGTAGGCGGTACTGCACTATTCTCGTCTGGTCGCGGGGCAGACAACGACAGTATTATTACAAGTAAAAGTGTACAAATTCGTACCAACATGTCCAAATATATCCCCGCGGTCGCTCTTTACGTGGATATACGACAAGTTCATAAACAAATTTGTCCTAATTATATTTTTCTTTACGTCTCCTGTAGATCGTTGCAACGTCGCTTTAACAACATAATCAGATAATGATCTCAGAAGCTCATTCGCTCACTCTACTGCTCGTTGTACAGTAAATTATAAACGCGCGACTTGACGGAAGGATGTACACGCACACATTGCAGGCTCGCGTGTTCGCTATAATTCTGCTTCCATGATTGTCTGCGTAGGCGTACGCGCGAGGGAACATTTCCCGTTTTTCTGAATAGATGATTTCCCTTCGATAAAAAGAGGCGGCTTCACTGAAAAAAATGTGCAGGCTACCACGCTCAGCTAGAACCCAATAGTTGATATTCTATTTCGGAGACTCTTTTCACCTGAGCAATGCCCGCAACGCCCGATCGCCACGCTAATGAAAAGCTGTTAAAGCGAGAGTTGGACTTCTCTTTCTTTCTTCGCGCGCGCGCGCTCCCCCGCATGCGAAACTACTATAAGCAGCGAAGTTTGTCTCTCTGAGCTGGCGAACATTTCTATCGGCTGCCGCGGCTAACTAACCTCGGCCGAATGAGTTTTCGTGAGCCGTAACGGTTTTTCGTCGCATCCATCTTATCGTATTACTGCGCCGACTGTCGCCGCGTGAATCTTAACAACGCCCCCCTCGCTGCCTCTTCGGAAAAATGCGTCCGCGCTTCAGGGGGGGGGGGAGGCCGTTTTATCCCTAACGCAATGATTTACTGTTTACTACAGTTACCCGAGTATCCACACGGAGAACGGCCAACGGCAATGCTGGGTCTAATTAATCCTAGGTGGCGCGCGTCGGACTATTTATCCGGTACGTAATTGGCACGCCCCGCCAGCACACGGCGCTGCCCGAAGCTGTAATCACGTGACCCTCCCTCCGCTGCATCCCGACTCGAGTAATTTTCTCGCTAGGTAAAAATAATTAGAACCAAGGTAGAGATCGAGTCGTTCGTGCTAGTCTACATGATCTCGTGTTGCGTCGAACGTAGGCTCGTTAAAAGACACCAGATGGATGTACTTGTGTTTTTCTCTAAATGAGAATACACACACACACACGCATATATATATATATATATATATATATATATATAACAAGAAAACGCAACATGAAATTCAAAACAGAAATCGAGATTTTTTCGATGGAGTAGAAAAGATGTACCTAATGATGTGACCATGTTATCAGAATCTTACATACATCATTATAGAGGAGTTTGGGGGGAACTGTGTTATTTGGAAATCCATAGTCTAGCTGTAATAGTGAGGTATAGCTTACCAGTGGCAAAATGTATCATATAAGCTTCCAAACGTTTTAATTATTTTAACGCGCTTCTAAACTTTTAATTTACGCTTTACACGTTTACATAATACCTGTAAATTTTACTTATATAATTCATTGCAGTGTGGTACACATAATATTTCCTTACATGAACCATGGGGGATCATATTAGATCTCCCGGGATTTCAATAGATTAATATGCTCTCATATTATTGCTCGTACTTTTTCCCCTATATCTCTCTATTTCTTCGTTTTTCTTATATATATATTTACGAATCAATATATTTCTTTTGTCAACATATTGTAACTCTGCCACATTCAATATCAGGAGAGTGTTATTGCGCGACAAATACTAGATTGGTCAACCCTGACTATAACTGCTCTTGAGTCGGCAGAGATACTGTTTACACATTCAATCTATCGTTGTCAAACGTTATTACCAAGCCTTCGCCGTAAAACCTTCTATTCTCGCCGTCGTGCATGGAGAGAATTCTCTGAAGGAGTTCGAAAATGTTCCAAGTTAATATGCGTCCAGCGTCGATTGACCTCGGGCTGTTGTTAACGGTGGGTTTTGGATGTTCGGAACCTATACTTTCTCGATCAGTGTAAAATAGCGTATTATTATCCTTATGAATTCCCTTTATTTATTTATTTATTTGCTTAATTATGTATTTATTTGCTTAATTATTCATTTATTTTCTTATTTATTTATTTATTTATTTATTTATTGTAAATGAATAAACTTTTACGTGATACAATCTACTGGTAGCATGACTAAGATTGTACCAGGAATAAATAATAAGAGACCACGTAATTTTTTATAGTATAAACTGTATAAACTACCAACGTACGCGTATTATTTACTTCTCATAGTAAGAGGTGGAAGCACCATGGCCACCGATAACGGTCCATGAAGCCGTATAGTCTGTGAAGTCTGCACGCGTTGATCTACACATCCTACTGCGTGGTGAATGCTTCTATGTATATTCAGAGAGCGTGTAAATGCGGTCGGTGTGCGCTAAGCATTCCAACTCAGTTCAGTTGCTCATCAAATCTCACAGGACGTATGCGACGCAGCTTTCTATATGTAACGTATGTTCCTCGCGCCGTCTACTCTTTCATCTGTCCACGCGTTTATATCTGCGGCCGTGTTGTGACCGCGGTGGCTCAGCCTCGATATGCGAGTTTCCCGAAACATGAGTCGGACTAGCTGCTGCTCGTTCCGACGTGCATTCTCGCGAAATCATTATCGGGAAATTTCCCGCGGCCGCATTAGAAATCTGCTTAGGGATTGAACCTTTTGATATATTAACGTCGAGCGGTGCGGTGCGGTAATTCGGACGGACGCGTCCCTGACTGGTAATATCGCGTTCATCGCCGACCAGTGACTCTCTGCTGACGATCCGCTATATTTCCCATCACCGTCGTCATCGTCATCGTCATCGTCATCGCCATCGTCATCGTCATCGTCATCGTCATCGTCATCGTCATCGTCATCGATGTAGCCGTTCGCCGAGCATCACAGCTGCATCAGGTGCGGATGCGACCGCAGCAGCAGCAGCAGCAGCAGCAGCGTTGATGCGACCCTGCATGTTGACTTCATTGAGAAAGACGTACATCTCGTCTCTCCTTCGTTTTCTCGCACAATTCTCTACTTACGCTGATTGTGCGGTGCGTGTGCATGCGGCCATCTTGCTGTTCTTCTTATTTGGGAATTCGGCATTAGGTCGGTATATATATATATATATATATATGGACGACCGCACGGAATGGTAATTAGAGTTCGTGTCAAAGTTGCCAAGATGCTGGTCCCGGAGGAACGGCGGCCTAATGGTTAGCAATAGCGTCTTGAGAGTAAACAGTCTGCAGCTTGTTTTCCATCCTGGTCGCTGCTGTTGTGCCCTCGAGTGTGGCGACGCAACGCGATTAGTTTCAGTTCGACGTCATGTGTATCGATGGGACCTCTTGTCACTCCCATCGAAAGGTTGGGCCGACAACCCCCGGAAAAACAACCTCCCCCATCACAGAAACCAAAACTACGCAGTTGCGGATGCCTCTATTCCACGAGGGATCCAGACGGCAAAATAAATCGAGAGGTCGCAGACGGGATTGAAACGAGAAAAATATCAGAAGTATTCATTCAGAAGTAGAAACTTGTCGCGGTGTGAGTCGAGTTGCGTTGCATTTTTTAGTTAGTTATTTTTTTAGTTATTTTTAAAAATTTTCTTATTAATTTTTTCTTATTTTTTAAATTTATTTGAAATTAGGCTTGCACACGCCTCACGTTTAGCGTCGGGCTCGCTCCTCCACTATAAAGAAGCTCGTATGTTACGTGTAACAGGCACGTGTAATCGTTTAGTGTAACCAGGTTCGTTTGTACAACAGATACGTGTGCTATTGCACTTAAGCCAGAGGCAGTATAATGCTATAACCACAGAATTACTACGGTTACTCTATTCTTTAATAATCAACATCATATTGACAATTACATACAATACATAGGTGGCTACGCAGGCCAACCAGTAAATACGCGTTACAAATGCTACGCAGGTCAACAATGCCTACGCAGGCTAACATCTTATACATCAGGCACTTACAGACAAGCGACTGGTTTACAAATGCAGTTCCTATTTACGAGCGTGGAGTCCTGCAGGTCGCAGGCAGCAGACAGGTCCTCAGTCAGTGATGTCCAGCAGCGACGGTAGCGTGGTGACGAGAGCAGGTGAGAGCAGTGCGGTGCTGACAGCGTCGTGAACTGTCAGGCACCGTGGAACTGTCTCCGTCTTTCTGTCCAATTCGGTCGGTATTTATGCTTCTGGAGGCATGCGTGGCCCGAGCGTGGTCAAGGCCTTGTTGACGATGGTGGTGCAAGACGTGTCGTCATCTCCAACATTTTTATGGGTGACTGAAGGTAAGAAGCTGTGGATGCTTCTTGAATCTGGTGTGGGAATCGCGGCAGTTCGATTTATGTTCTCATAGTTCACATAGTTCACATTTGTCGGCGGTATTCGTTATTTGTTCTTCATCAGTCGGCATGCGACATCAAAGTGTGATGTCCTTCTATAGGTACTAAACTGTCACTCTGCCGTCGTGGGTGATAACTTTTACTCGTGTTCCAGTGACTCAGTTTCTCAGGATGGCTGGGTGGCGTCCTTCGCTTGTTGCCTTGACTGCTATTTGTCGACTAAAATAACTTGTGCCGTGATGCTGCTTAAGTTAAACGACCCGTGTCGCTAGGTTTTATACTAGGTTAAATAATTCGATATTTACTTCATTACACCACTACGACAGGATAAATGACACCTGCTCTGGGCTGCAACAATTATTTCCTCCCACGAGAAATTCTAATGATTCAGTGATAATATTTCCTGAATGTTACTAAGGCTGAGCGCATGCGCTGATGTTTAACAGACTATACTGAGCGTCTGTCGGCTCTCTGTATTAACTCGGGGCGCTACTGCTGCCTGGAAACCCAGCCGCTGACATGTCATGCCATGTTTATGTGGCCAACCGCGCGTATAAATCATTAGGCACGCATGCGATACATATATATAGTCTGTGCGAATAAAACCGAGTCGCATCAGGTCGCGTCCAGAGGTCTGAACGTAAGCGATCACAAGCCCACACGAACACACACACGCGCGCGCATACACATACACATACACACACACGCGCACACACACACACACACACACACACACACATACATACATACAACACACGCACACGCACGAATGCAAGCAGGCACGCACGCACGCAAGCAGGCACGCGCGCGCTCAGGCACTCACGCAGGCAGGCAGGCAGGCGGGCATGCACGTGCACAACTATGATACCTGGTGGATATCCGTGCTCTTCTCAGCGAAGACACCGATGGCCGTGGCAAAGTTTAGTCTATTCATGCACAACGGAACCCCGCTATACCGCGCCCCGCAAGGACGCGAATTCGAATAGAACGCGATCATTATTTGCTCCCCCCCCCTTTGCTCCTCTTTCCTCTCTTCGATCGCTCTTTTAAAATTTGATTTATCGCGCTAAAGCGAGACCTCGCATTTTACGCGCGGCCGTATTTTTGGATCTCTGTTATAGCGTTATGATCGCGGGTTTCCTCTGTACTGGGATGACGAATTTGCCTGGCTATAGCTGATGAGGTGGTCATTCGCCTGCGAGAAGGCGGGGCCCGTCTGCCAGGAATCTATCGAGTGTAGTGTCAGAAAAGTGAGCAAAGTTTACATGCCGAATTTATGCGTTATTTCCATCTACTATTCTCTGCGGGTAATAGAAAACCGCCAAGCTCTGTTTTACCTCCTCTCCTAGCTACTGAATGAAATAGCCAATAGAACATTTGAATATGGGATGAGCCGAATCGAATGCGTCTTTAAGAGCTAATTTCATTCTAGGATTCCCTACTAACTTGTTAATTAAGGGATCCTAAGCTAGTTATGCACAGAGACCCATTATTTCACTTCCATCTCTAGGTTAAGTATCTCTAGTTTAAGCGCGCTGAACGTCTGCGGGCGCCATCTATATGCATGTTCACTTGTTACTGTTCTCGGCACGTCTGAGGGTCAGCGTCGTGAGATAGTTACCGGGGTTGCCTAGGTTAGCCTAACCATCCTACACCGCCATCAAGTCCCTCAGATCACCGCCATGTGCTTCTTCGCTTCTCTGTATTATTTACATCACAGCGCGTCGTTCCCGCGGTGAGTGAGAAAAAGAAAGAAAGACGTCATCCGTGTTAGATGGCAGAACGGAGTAGAGCTAACGCGATTCTCTCATCTCTCTCTCTCTCTCTTTTTTTTTTATCTCTCTCTCTCTCTCACTCACTCACTCACTCACTCACACTCTCTCTCTCTCTCTCTCTCTCACTCACTCACTCACTCACTATCTCTCTCCCCCCGCTCTATCTCTCGCCCTCCTTCTCTCCCTCTCGCCTGCCCCCTCTCTCTCCCTCGCTCTCCCTCTCTCTCTCTCTCTCTCTCTCTCTCTCTCTCTCTCCCACCCCCTCTCTCGCCCTCTCTCTCTCTCTCCCTTTCTTTCTCTCCC